CCATAAAAGTCTTCTCCTGCAATACAAACTACCGAAGGAACATTTTAAAATTTACTGTGAAATAACAATTGAACGAAAAATTACGACGATTGTAATGGTAAAAACTTACGATGCCAATCCGATATTAGTGTTAAATTTTTAACGAGTGGTTTTAACTAAGGCTGGGATAAGCTCAGTCGCTGCCAGGGTCGACCTAAGGACCCACCAACATTAAGTGAAACACGAGTGTTTATAATTTCAATATTTATTATAATACTCTGGTGCCTACAGTACGAATAATATGTGAGAATCAGAATTGGGTATGGTGCTCTTGTAGCTGTTTTGATGATAACCGGGTGTCGTTCCGATGGTCATCGGCCTATCATCACCGATTCGTCGGTGTTCGGATGCTGTCGGCTCAGGGGGGTAGTTGACGTATGGTTCGGCTCTGTACCCTTCGATGGCTGTCGATTCGGCAGTAGTCGGATATGTGACTTGTCCCTATGGCAATCGGCTTGGATCTTCACTACTCGAACTACGGTCGGATCTGGTAATCGGGTGGCCGTCGGGTCGAGGAAATCGAGTAGATCCCGGTTCGGAAGTTTCCGTGTATGTGGCTTGCGCTAATCGGATTATGGTAGACGCGGTGTAATCCGGTGGCTGTCGAGTCGGGGTAATCGGGTAGCTGTTGGTTCGACAGACGTGGGGTTGTTGACTGTGCTCTGCACAATTCGATTTTGCCGTAAGGAAGGTGGGAGCTGGCCGTGAGCTTGAGCTGGCTAAAAGCTGTGAGCGTGCTAAGCGCTGAGAGCTCGCTAAGAGCTTGATACTTGTTAGAAGCTTGGAGCTTATTAAGAAGCTGGGAGCTTGTTAAAAGCTGGGAGCGTGCTATGCTCTGAGAGTTCACTAAGAGCTGGATCGAATCGTGGCTAACTAGTAACGAGACTGCGGACGATCCACACGTCTGTTCGTTCTCTGTCGGCTATTGATCGACCACTCTCGGCTGATATAGGAAAATATACATTTTTGTAGTCACACGAAGTAAATGAGAGTTATTATCAGCTAGGTTAGTCATTAAATGCAATAAAGCTAACATTTAGCATGACAAGTGGAACATATTATGTATGGGGTATATTCAAAATGTGACCTAAAAGTGATATAAAGGTTGTATGAAACGGCCAAGTTACATCTCCCTCCTCGCTTTGGACACAAGAAGGGTTCTACTGAAGTAACCCCATGCACATTTCAGCTGAAATGTTTTTATTTTTTCGTTGTTGACTAAGACTGAGTCACCAACCCGCACCACCTATCACATGTGCATTTAGCTTACAAAATGGTAAGCTCGTGTAAACAACTGCAGTTTATTTTTTTTTTTTTACCTCATTATTATTACTTTTTTTATATTTATTAATTGTATATTTTCCCTTTTTTCTATAATTCATACCTTTCCACTCAACAAGTTCCTGACCTGGATACAGCCGTCGTCTAACTGGCAGCTGTTCCGGACTCTGACACCTGGCTCATACATGTTGAAGCTGGTACGTCTGCCATCGTAGTCATCACAAGTGGGGTATTCATGAGGGGAACTTGGCCGACTACTGTTGATGAGTTGCTCTCTCCGGGGTTTGAAATCTCTTGCCGACCGATCTGTAGGATGGTTGTTACTGTCGTTGCATCGTGATTGTTGGCTGAGAAGGGTGTTTGTTGGTCACCGCGTAGCGTTTGAGCAGTCCGAAGCCCGAAGACCGGTGGGGATTCGTCTAGGACAGGCATTCCTCTGGGCGAGACGGTTGTTGTAGAAGGCGTAGTTTTGTCCTTTTGCTATCTTTGCCACCCACCTCCTACATAATGGAGTCGTGAGTTTGTAAATAATCATCACCTGACCGTGCATGGTGTAGTTGCATTTTTTTTTTCTGCTCTCTTTTTATCCATCTCATCTTTTTTACCTGCTCTCTATTTTATCTGCTCTCACCACACAAATTTTTAGTGACGTTGGTTATTCACTATTATGTTCATTGCATTTATTTTCTACTCCCCCATGCTATCGTTGAGATTTTTTGTCTGACTGATATGATTGTTGGTGCGGTAGAATATGTATGGTGTGTTTTTGTATCATTGTTTTGTCCTCTTCTTGAGAGTGGCGTGGCTGTTTATCTGCCTATATTTCTCTATTGAGTGGAATATGGTGATCGTAGATTGATCACTCAGCTTTAAAAAGCGTTGAGTTTGATGTATTGTGTTGTTTGAGGTCTTGCACATTTACTTTCCTTATTCTCCCATTTTCGTCACTTATTTGGGCGCATGAAGGATGAGACGGTAAATGAGCCTGCGTATTTTTGCGTTGCTGATGATAATTGCCTTTCTTTTACCCAAACCTTATCACCGATTGCCGGGGACCACTTTATAGTGTTATAGTAATGTTGTTGCTTGCGACTTTCTATTTTATTATTCTATTCAACATATAGCCACAGTTCTTTATACATGGCATTTGTTCTCGTGTTATCGACTGTAAGCAAGGGGAAAGCGTTCGGAGCAGTCAGATTATGTCTGAATATAATTTCGGCGGCGAGTACTTACTTGACTCGCTAACGGCGATATTGATTGCGAAAGCAATCTCGGGAAGGTGTAGATCCCAATTGCTATGGTCATTGCCAGTATTTTGCGCAATCCTCGTTTCCACTGTACTCCATTGTCTGTTAAGAACGTCTCCGGGCATCCAAACCTATAAATAACTCGTACCTTGAGCGCCTTGACGACGTCCTGAGCGGTACCCTTCCTTGTTGGAACCAGTTCCACCCATCACCTAAATTTGTCAATTATGACCAATAACAAGGTTTGCCCTTCTTGGGCCTCGGGAGCAGTAGAGTTACTTTTTTCATCACATATCGTGCACACGTTTCGCATTATCGGGTGTAGGCTCGTACTACTCTAGATATACCAGGCCAGTAAAAGTTTTGTTGAATTCGTTTCAACGTTTTGAACATCCCGAAGTGACCGGCTTGTAAATGGTGGTCCTGAAGTACGTCCGCTTTCATCGTTGCTGGACACACCGTTGCCATTAGGAACGAGTGTCAAACGCACTCTGGCGCGGGGTGTGTTTGTACAAATGCCCTTCTACCACTTGGAAGTCAGGATGTTTATGCCCTTCCAGAGCCTTTTTCACCTTTTTCATCATTTGCGTATACCAATCCGTAGGCATGATGGAGAGTGCGAAACATTCTTCGGTTGGCGATAGAGGAGCTCGGGACAGTGTATCGGCTACGACATTTAAACTCCCCTCGCAGTTTGATCGGTCATCTGGACTTTTCTTGTGGTTCTGCTGGGTAATTCCCTTTCGAATGCAGCTTTTTCCGCATAGTTTCGCCAATGTAACTGATAGAAGCTCCAGCATCAATTAGAACGTTTACCGTGATTCCTTCTATAGACACGGTAATGAAATACCTACTGACTCGTTTGTGGGTTAAGGAGGCCGAACCTCTAAAATCGAGCGAAAACGTTGTCTGTACCACAACGTGAGCAGAACAGGACTGCCGATTCTTGACACTGCCGTGTTCGATCATCCTCAAAAAATATGTCTGTGGAGCGTCGCATAGTGGTGAGTGTGTGATAGTGTCTATCTGGCTTTCCATTTCAATGCAAATTTTAAAATAATATAGTTCAATTTAGTAGTTGCATATTGTTCGAAAACCTAACCGAGTTATAAACCCTACTAAAATTTTTAATTACATTGGTTGTTTATTTTCGAAGTTTTTATTTCCGATTGTTTGTTTTTGTAGGTAAGTTATCGTACACGTCAAGAATTACTTATCGGATTACATACTCCTTTAAATTTTACTTCGGCAAATTCGTTAAAACAAACAATGCAAATATGAAAGTTTGTTCTTTAATAATAGTCTTGTTATACTCTCCGCCATAAGGTGAATGGAATACTAACTCGAATACTAAATGGAACTCTAACTTACCATCATTTGCATTTATTGTAAATCCACCTTAAACAAATTTTTGGACCGTTTCAGTCTATAATATATTTTGCAAGAGATATGCCAGGATCAAGAAGGTCACGAAAGTCGTCGCGAATGTCCACCACCTATTCCGCTGTACTTGTTGATTTGGTACAAACAGTAACAACACAATAATATAATATTAAGAAAGTGGTATCCACGAATTCTTGCTTGATGTATTAGGTTCAGAATTTTTCTTGCAAACGAAGAATGAAAAATTTTTGTCGATGTCGCTTCTTATATACGCTCAGCGGAAAAAATAAAGCGATCATTCTAAAACCACAACTTGGCGAAGAACTGCCATTCAGCTGGTTCGTTGTATTTTTATTTACTAATGGCAAGTATGGCAATGCAAGAAAATAAATAATATGGTAACGTTACGTTAAAATATGTATTACAAATATATGAATTGAAATATAGTTATACTTAAAACTAATTTTCCGCTGCATACTCCCCAATTGAAGTGTGGGATCTTCTCTCGAGTAACGCGTCAACATCTTCAGCTTCAGAATCATTGGAACTTCTTGTGCCTGCCTCTCTTTCTCATCGGATGAACTGCCTTTGGAGTATCAGCTGAGTTGGTACCCTTATACATAGTCAAGACTGAAGCATGATATGTACCAAGAGGTTGTTGCATGTGACCCAGAAATATTTAAAATTTTAATAAATTTATTACCAGCATAGTTGCTGTCTTCCTTGGCCGGCGAAAAAATGAGAGAGCCGGATATGCGAAGTCGCCGGATCAGGTACAGAATTTCAGCGTTGCCACCCATCACTGTAAGTGGAATGAGGAATGCAACTATGTGGGGTGTAGGGATATGTAGGTGCGGTTCAAAGGAAAAATGAATAAATTGAGGAAAAATCCGCGAAAATTTTGGAAAGAGGGAAAAACTGGCATCAGTTTTTGCCCTATAAAAAGGCGTAGCGGGGAAAATTTCGTTAATGCGTCTTGTTCTGTTGTGGAAAAATACCATTTGTCCGGGAAATAAGCCTCATCGTCAAAATAAAATAACAGTGGAATATTTATTAAATTTAATGTCAAATTATGGTGTGTTTATTTGTGTTCATTTTGGACAGTTTAATTTATGTGTACGTGCGAACAAAATAGTAGTAAGTAGAGTGAAAAATTTACAGAGGAAGGTTTGTATTGTAATATGTGTTGTTTGTGTTTAGAAGTCGCGCCAACTATAGCCCCGAACAAAAAAATATTGGCTCCTCGAGACTTCTTCCTGGAGGTGGTCAGTTTTGGCAAATCCGGAATTTCTGGAAACCCGCCAGGATAAACAGCTGCCCAATTTGTGTTTGAATTTGTTCCCGTGATTGTCTTGTTTGGCTGACGGAAACTGGCCTTGTGTGAGTTGGCAGTAAAAACCATTTTTGATGTCTTTTGCCTAAAAGGAGAAAAAGTCGATAAGTACCGGCGATAAAAAGTTAAAATTATAAATTTTTTCATACATACCTAACAAGCCGAGATTCTCCTGGACAAAAATTGGCAGTTGCCTCCAATGGCCGGTCAGAATTAAGCGCCAAAAACTTCCACGACGCGCTGACAAAAAAAAATCTGAAAATTTAACAAAAAAAGAAATAACATTAAATTTACATTGAATTGAGATATAAAAAAATCACAACAAACAGAGACGGACAAAATAAGACTAATTATATTTATGTTTTAATCTTAGATTAAGTGTGAACGTCCATTAATAGTAAGTTAGTATATAAGGTTCATTGGTTGAGTTATCGATGTTTTGTTAGGATTTTTTAACACCCAGTTAAAGGAAGTGAGTGTAGGGTTACCCCAGTAGAATAGGACATTTAAATATTCTTTTCGCATGGACTGAATGGTGATGTCCAAAAATAATTACTAAGATTTGTTTAGACTTAGTTATTAGGATTAAGACGAAATGAAAATAAATTGTTTTAATGTTTTATATGTTTAGTAATATGAACTTCTAAGTGTTTCTTGTAAGAGAGGAATCTAGGCTGTATGTAACTGAGTGGTAAGTGTTAGTGGGTTTTGGGGCCCTTTAAAATTATCAATTATTTATTCTGGATCAAAAGGTCAAGGATGGGCGGGCAAAGTGTGGGAACCAAAATACCAAGTTCCCTCGTCATGGTCATATGTCGTGTTTGTCGTTTTATTTTTATTTGTTTTTTTTTTTTGTGTTCATTTTCTGTTTCCTTTATAATTGTTCGACACCTAGGGCTGATGGTGGAAGGGTTGGGAACCCCCTGATAAAAAAAATGTGCCCCGATTGAGCTTGTCGGAAACCCACCATGCACCGCGTCAAGCGGCCACAATATGTCGTCTAATTTAGGCGGTACATAATGACATAACGCCCAGCTCCATCTACGCAGCTCGTAACAATATGGCGCCCAATGGAGAAAAAAATATTGTCCTGTCATACAACATTTTTTGTGCAATACCAACGTGCCAAAACATTATGGTGGCAAGGACAGTTAAAACTTATTTCGTGCAATAACACCTAGCACAAAGCAATAGACAATAGGGTTAATAGATAAAAACGATATATCGCATTTTCTAAGTGCTAACAGGTATTGTATTCACTTATTTGTTTTAAAATCTGTGATAAATGTGCAATATTTAATTTAGATAATTAGAAAATTAAGATATATCGTTCCATAAGTTAGGGTCTAGTGCAATAGCTCTTATTCGTTAATTTTAACAAAGAATGTATTGTGTTAATGACCTGTGTTTTATGTCGGTGTTTAATTATTTGTGTAGAGTAGGTACAATAGTTTAAGGTTGACATTAGGGTAAATGTGCAATATCTGCAGTGACGAAGAGTGTCACTGACTGTATTGTGCAATAAGTACTATGTACACGCTGACTTTTTTCGTCAGAATTGAAGAAAAATGCCGTGGTGTTTTCCTTTAAATTCGTGTTCATAAATGTTTGTTTAAGTCCAGTCTCACAATACGCCATGACAACCTTTTTAGGACACTTAAAATGAAATGTTTATTTGATTGCAAATCAATTGAAAACCACACGTTTTATCCACGTCAGTTACTGAAAATACACCCTATGACCTCTCATATATGTCATTTGTGTTGTGTTAGTAACCTAATTTTGTTGTTGAAGTAACCTAAGTACATTTATTTTGCGTTTTATTAATTATTAAATTATTCTATTTTATTTATTCATATTTGTTTGTATTTTTTTTAACATTATTTTTAGCACATATTTTTTTTTTTTGTTTGTCTAGTAGTTTTAAATTTATGTAGTATATTAAACAAATATTATCCAACGTTTAAATCAATACTTTCCGCAATTCTTATTCATTCTGATATTTAAAAAAAATCAATAATAAAAATTTGAAATTTCCGATGAGCGACAAGACCGAAGGAAATAAAGAAGCGGTTCTTAGAAAAAAGAAAACCAAGAGAAATCGGTCATTGACTTTTGACTCAAACCGCACCTCTATTTCTTCGCCCTTACCTAAAGTAAACAAAAAAAACGACAATGCCAAACACTAATAATAATAGTTCTGATCCGTCAATTCGAGATCTCTCTGGCACAATAACTAATGTTAATCCCAGCACAAGTGCTGCGGCCAGATTAGGACAAAATGATCCCCAACCTGCAAATCAGCCGACTCACCCAGCAGAGGTAGATATTTTAGTGAGAAGTCTAGTGAAAGAAAGCTTGGCACAGGCTAATAATAACCTCCAAGGTTTAGTGCAGGAGAGCGTTAGTAGGGAAATGGAAAAAGTATATAGTGTCATAAATAGACTCAGTGATGTTGTGTCCAAAATGTCCATTTCTGAACAAAATAGAATTCAAAATCCTACAGCGTCTTCACAGAATGACATTCCGAGACACCAGTCACTACCTCAAGACAACAACAGATCTGATAATTATATGAGTCAGGTACCCCAACAAAATCGCGACCAGAACCCCAATTTTAGTCGCAGGAATACGGTGACACCCTCAGTTCTAAGTTTTTCGAGTGGTCCAGGCATAAGAGTGGAAAGGTTTGGACTGAATTTTTCAGGCAGACCAAATAGCCTCTCAGTAGAGGACTTTATTTATCGTCTGGAATATTTTCAGCAGCACTACCGTCTAGATTGGTTTGACATTTTGAACGAGATTCATATTTTATTGTCAGAACCAGCTTACGAGTGGTTCTGGTTACAACAGAGAAGCAACAATGTGTCAGACGGGAATTCATTAAAGCATGGACTCCTAGAACGCTTTAAAATCAGGCGTACTTGTTTTGAGGAAATGAGGGATTTGTTGGAACGCAAACAATTGCCAAATGAGACCATCGATGAATTTTTTCACTACATAAACTCTAAGCGGTCAAAGTTGGAAAGGCCAGTATCTGAATTTGAAATGATATCGCTGGTTAAAAAGAATTTACAGAAAAATTTGTCCAGCATAGTTTATTCTATGCCAGTGTCATCCCTCGAACAGCTACGAGTGGAATGTTTAGAAGTTGAAAGAACTTTTTTTCATCACGACTCTGCCCCAAACCCACCTTCAAATTTCAATAGGCATGTTAAAGTTCATGCGATTCAAGAAGAAGAAGTAGGAAACATTCAAGCATTTGAAGAACCGAAAGAAAAAGTTGAGGTTTCTGAAATAACTTTAATATGCTGGAATTGTCAAAAACCTGGACATGGTTTTAGGGACTGCACTTCGGCCCAAAGAAATTTGTTTTGTTTTAAATGTGGCAAGCAAGACACAGTCACCCCGAGATGCTCTAACTGTAGGACGGGAAACGGGAAGCCGAACATGGTTGCAGCGGGGAACCATCGTTCCTCAGGGGAACCCGCAATTCAGAACCCTCACCCAAATTAGATATTTTCGGAAAGATCCGGCATTATTTGCCATTAAACGTTAGGGAAGAAAACTATTATAAAACAAAATCAAAAATATTTGGGGGAAACTGTGGTGAGAAATCTAAGGCAGATGAAGCTAACCACGACTCAGTAAATCGGGTATACGTGGAAAATCGACAAAGACAAAAGATAATGAGACTTCGAGATAAACAAAAAGAATTCAAGACGTTAAAAAAATCAGTAGCAGAAGCAATTGTCAGATCCCAAGCCAAGAAAGATCCAAGACCATTTATTACCGTGAACATCGAGGGGAAACCAATTAAAGGTCTCCTAGATTCCGGAGCCACTGTCAGCTTGTTAGGACGACAGTGTAGAGAAATTGTGGACGAACTAGGATAGACATCCGATACCTGGCAAAAACAGATTTTGCTTAGATGCCAGAAAGCTGAATGCCGTGACAGTAAAAGATGCCTACCCACTACAAAATATCGACGGTATCCTCAGCAGAATAGACCAGACCCATTATATAAGCAGCGTCGATCTAAAATATGCCTTCTGGCAGATAGAGCTAGAAGATGAAGCCAAGCCATACACTGCGTTCACAGTTCCAGGTCGACCGCTTTACCAATTCCGGGTAATGCCGTTTGGCTTGTGTAATGCGGCTCAAAGATTATGTCGATTAATGGACAAAGTGATACCGAGGAGGCTCAAGTCTAAGGTGTTTATTTACTTGGACGACCTTTTAATAATCGCTAATGACTTCGAATACCACCTTAAGTTGTTGAAAGACGTGGCAGAATGCCTACAGAAAGCCAATCTCACCATCGGATTGAATAAGTCTTTATTTTGCTTCAGAGAGTTACGTTATCTTGGATTCATAATTGGAAATGGAAGCTTAAAAACCGACCCCGAAAAGATCAAGGCAATACTGAAAATCCCGATACCGAAGTCGCCTAGAGAAGTTCGGAGTTTTCTCGGCACCGCTGGTTGGTACCGGAGATTTATAAAGGATTTTGCCTCAGTGTCAGCGCCCCTAACAGATACGCTAAAGAAAGGCCAGAAATTTTCGATGTCTCCCGAAGCCATTGAATCTTTTCACACTCTCAAACACGCATTGACTTCGGCTCCAGTCCTCAGACACCCCGACTTTCACCGAGAATTTTTTATTCAATGTGATGCATCTGAATATGGTGTCGGGGCCGTCCTATTTCAAAAAAATGATGAAGGCGATGAAAATCCTGTCGCGTTTTATTCTCAAAAACTAAATCCCTGCCAAAGAAATTACACTGTGACAGAAAAAGAGTGTTTGGCGGCTGTGTTAGCTGTAAAAAGATTTCGGCCGTATGTCGAACTCATGAAGTTCACAATTATAACCGACCATGCAAGTCTGAAGTGGCTGATGTCACTTAAGGATCTTAATGGAAGACTGGCACGGTGGTCTTTGCAACTACAAACGTACGATTTCTCAATCGAACACCGAAAGGGATCCGAGAACGTGGTAGCAGACACATTATCTCGAATGCCCATTGACTCAGATTTGATAGTAGAAGAAATAGATATAGATCATGATGTGCTGAATTTCGAAACGACGGCCTTCGACGATGAAGAATATATGGAACTTCGAGATACAATACTCAAAAATCAAGAAGTATTACCCGACTTGAGAGTAGCAGACAACAAAATCTACATAAGGAAAATAAATTTCGATTCGGATATAGAAGAATTTGAGTGGAAATTATGGGTACCTCTAGCCATAACGCATGCCCTGATAGAGAACGCGCATAATTATAACGATACAGTACATGACGGCATCAGCAAGACCCTTAATCGTCTTAAAACTTTTTACTACTGGGCTAAGATGGTGTCACAGGTGAGACAGTATGTCAGAAATTGTGATATTTGCAAGGAAAGCAAATCAGCAAACCAGCACCTGAACCCTACAATCGGCAATGAAGTGGTGACGGAAAGATCATTTCAGAAATTGTACGTGGATTTTCTTGGAAAATATCCTCGATCAAAAAAAGGAAACGCGTACATTTTTATTGCGGTAGACCACTTCACAAAATTTACGTTCCTGCACGCGATGAAGGAAGCAACGTCTCAAAACGTTGTCAAATTTTTAGAGGAACAGGTATTTCATATCTTCGGTATACCAGAGGTTATCCACAGTGACAACGGAAAACAATTTACATCGAAAGTATTTGAAAGGATGATTAAGAATTACAAGATTCAACACCTGACCACAGCATATTATTCTCCTCAGTCAAATGCTTCCGAGCGAGTAAACCAGTCGGTACTGGCGGCTATCAGAACCTATGTGGAAAATGACCATCGCGGCTGGGATTTATATTTAACAGAAATTGAACAAGCCCTGCGTACATCCGTGCATTCTTCTACCGGTGTAAATCCTTTCTTCGCCCTTTTTGGGTACAATATGTTTACAAATGGATCTGATTATAAGCTTGCCAAAAAGTTAAAATCACTCACTGACCACCAAGTAGATGATCTAAATAGGAGCGACAAATTAGAACTGATGCGTGAGAAAATAAAATACAATATGCACAAAGCATTTGAATATAGTGCAAAACGCTACAACCAAAGAGCACGTATAATTAATTTATTGCCAGGTCAAGAAATTTATCGACGTAATCACATGCTGTCTGACTTTAAGAATAATAATAACGCGAAATTCGAGAAAAAGTTTCTAAAATGTAGAGTTGTTAGACCCATTGGGAATAACATGTATGAATTAGAAACACTCCAAGGTAAACCGCTAGGGAATTTCCATGCCAAAGATATAAAAATTTAAAAGTACAATAATTTCTGTGATGCTAGTAATAAAAAGTGCAATATAGATTAAGGAAATGAATGTTTGTGAACGTCCATTTTCTTTACTTATTTTGCAGCTGTAATTATTAGTACCAATTATCGACATGTTTTACAATTTATATATTTTATTAGGCTAAGAAATATCCTTGATTGCCCGGCTTGTGTTATTTCAGAGTGTGGGAGTTCCCCACGTTGGGACAGAAGCAATAACAGACCAGAAGCATAAAGAAATAAAACGGCCTTGACTAAGTTGAGATTGCATTAAAATTGAGGAAAGTATTTTTGAGGATCTTAAGAAGTTAGTGAAAGTGTGACTATAAAATATTCTTAGAAATTGACCCAATCTAGCCCAAACTTGAGTTGTTAATGGCCCGAAACCGAAACTATATTAGATTTGAATAATATTATAATATAGTTAATAAATGATAATAAAGAAGCAAATGAATCATAGAGATAAATCAGAAAATGTGAACGACCAAACAAATCAAGGGTCAAAACAAATTTTTCATCTTTCCATTATGGATAATTTATTTTATCACTCTGCGATGTAAGGATATGTAGTATGGAGGCTCTGATTTATACTATATTCCAACATTTTTTTTATATCCGACATACTCGGTCGATGTATTTTACCACCAGAGTAAACCACTAGTATTTTTTTATGATAGTGGCTCAAATACGACGGACTTCATAAATCTGGTAAAGTACAACAAAGTCAGTTCTGAGAGTGCCTTTCTTCTCTATTTCATCGCATGAAATAATCCCAAACCATTTCATAAAACATTTTGTTGTTGTTTATAAGACATATTCCCTGTACATTTTTTTTGGGCGTATGTGGCATACATCATTGAGCAATCCAATTCCATACTACAGTCTCACACCTCAATTAGTTTTTCTTGTCCGTCCGTTCACGTATCATAATAAAACAAAATACAAAAAAAAACTCACCCAACAAATTTTTGATCCCTTCCAGTCTCTGGTGATTCCATACACAGATGATGCGAATAGTCAGGTAGTATATGATGTTGTTTCCCAGAGGTGTGCCATTTAATTGATATGTGTCAAAGTATGTTTCCATTTATCGGGCTGTGCTCCCAGGTGTCCTTAGGTACATACAAAGATAGAATTAGTAGGAAGCAAATAATAGTATGAAAAACGTTCAAATGACAAGCAAAAAATTTTATTGAATCGATTTTCGGCCATAAGTTTTTAATTAAAAAGTAAAAATTTTCTAAAATTGAATTTACTAGCAATTGCCTTTATGCTTATGGATGGCACTGTCACTTTTCACACAAATTGTCCGGTAATATGATTTTATTTGTAACACCAATCTTTTTTACTTCATACGCTATCACAAAATCTCAACTACTCCACAAACACACAGCTTACCTGCCATTCACTGCCGCTATGACATGTTGCGCTCTCGTTGAGAAACGAAACCACATACTGTCCACATTCATTTCCTCAAGTCTAGACATAAATGCTAGGCATCATTTCACGATGCCGAACAAAATCGTTTGTTTGTGCTTCAAGGCACTTTCAAACAAACAACACAACACACAAGGCACAAATTACTCAAGAATCTTCCTCATCGCAAGGCAATCATTTTTCCATGATGTTTCTCGTGCTAACAATCAATTTGTTGGTAATATCTGACGGTTGGTGTACACAAGGGGAATATATGTAGCGCTCCATACTATATTACCTTGTAATTTGTTTAGCTGCCAACAATTTTTGTGCCAAAATGTCACCCCATTAGTAACCTGAAATAGTAAAGACGATATTAGAGATGAATTTTTAATAGTCACCATAGAACAAAAACAAATTGTACTTACCTGCTTAATCCACCCCAATTTACTGAAGTTCTCGACCACCATTCAGAAAAATGTTAACAACCGCACGTACATGTTTGGTTGTGTGTGTGCACATTGAGACACCGTATTTTGTGCGTACGCACAAACCCATAATCGACCGACAAATCATTAATGAAATTTTAAGACCTGTAAAGAAAAATTTCAGATTAAAATGTGTACAAATAAATTATTTTTCAACTGCTTACCTGTGTCCTGTCCACTTAAGAAATGTCCGTGATTCTACCTGATAGCATGCGTTTCCTGAAGGTTGGCATATCCCGATTTAAATCCCTCTTTATTTCAGCCATCACTGAGAGATTTTTCACAATACTATTCCATAGGTCATGCACATCATCATTTCCAAGAAATGTTGAAGTTTGTTGCATGTGACCCAGAAATATTTAAAATGTTAATAAATTTATTACCAGCATAGTTGCTGTCTTCCTTGGCCGGCGAAAAAATGAGAGAGCCGGATATGCGAAGTGGCCGGATCAGGTACAGAATTTCAGCGTTGCCACCCATCACTGTAAGTGGAATGAGGAATGCAACTATGTGGGGTGTAGGGATATGTAGGTGCGGTTCAAAGGAAAAATGAATAAATTGAGGAAAAATCCGCTAAAATTTTGGAAAGAGGGAAAAACTGGCATCAGTTTTTGCCCTATAAAAAGGCGTAGCGGGGAAAATTTCGTTAATGCGTCTTGTTCTGTTGTGGAAAAAATACCATTTGTCGGGGAAATAAGCCTCATCGTCAAAATAAAATAACAGTGGAATATTTACTAAATTTAATGTCAAATTGTGGTGTGTTTATTTCTGTTCATTTTGGACAGTTTAATTTATGTGAACGTGCGAACAAAATAGTAGTAAGTAGAGTAAAAAATTAACAGAGGAAGGTTTGTGTTGTAATATGTGTTGTTTGTGTTTAGAAGTCGCGCCAACTATAGCCCCGAACAAAAAAATATTGGCTCCTCGAGACTTCTTCCTGGAGGTGGTCAGTTTTGGCAAATCCGGAATTTCTGGAAACCCGCCAGGATAAACAGCTGCCCAATTTGTGTTTGAATTTGTTCCCGTGATTGTCTTGTTTGGCTGATGGAAACTGGCCTTGTGTGAGTTGGCAGTAAAAACCATTTTTGATGTCTTTTGCCTAAAAGGAGAAAAAGTCGATAAGTACCGGCGATAAAAAGGTAAAATTATACATTTTTTCATACATACCTAACAAGCCGAGATTCTCCTGGACAAAAATTGGAAGTTGCCTCCAATGGCCGGTCAGAATTAAGCGCCAAAAACTTTAATTTATGTGAACGTGCGAACAAAATAGTAGTAAGTAGAGTGAAAAATTTACAGAGGAAGGTTTGTGTTGTAATATGTGTTGTTTGTGTTTAGAAGTCGCGCCAACTATAGCCCCGAACAAAAAAATATTGGCTCCTCGAGACTTCTTCCTGGAGGTGGTCAGTTTTGGCAAATCCGGAATTTCTGGAAACCCGCCAGGATAAACAGCTGCCCAATTTGTGTTTGAATTTGTTCCCGTGATTGTCTTGTTTGGCTGATGGAAACTGGCCTTGTGTGAGTTGGCAGTAAAAACCATTTTTGATGTCTTTTGCCTAAAAGGAGAAAAAGTCGATAAGTACCGGCGATAAAAAGGTAAAATTATACATTTTTTCATACATACCTAACAAGCCGAGATTCTCCTGGACAAAAATTGGAAGTTGCCTCCAATGGCCGGTCAGAATTAAGCGCCAAAAACTTCCATGACGCGCTGACAAAAAAAAAAATCTGAAAATTTAACAAAAAAAGAAATAACATTAAATTTACATTGAATTGAGATATAAAAAAATCACAACAAACAGAGACGGACGAAATAAGACTAATTATATTTATGTTTTAATCTTAGATTAAGTGTGAACGTCCATTAATAGTAAGTTAGTATATAAGGTTCATTGGTTGAGTTATCGATGTTTTGTTAGGATTTTTTAACACCCAGTTAAAGGAAGTGAGTGTAGGGTTACCCCAGTAGAATAGGACATTTAAATATTCTTTTCGCATGGACTGAATGGTGATGTCCAAAAATAATTACTAAGAGAGCTCTTTTAGGGAATTTATAAAATTCGTGTGATCGGCCAGATTTGGCAAATGTTTTGTAAGTCCTAAGATAATTTGGTGGTTGCCTGAGTAATGGCTCATGAAAATTAAAGGTGTTAGGAATTCCAGAATTAAATTTGTTTTGTTTAGACTTAGTTATTAGGATTAAGACGAAATGAAAATAAATTGTTTTAATGTTTTATATGTTTAGTAATATGAACTTCTAAGTGTTTCTTGTAAGAGAGGAATCTAGGCTGTATGTAACTGAGTGGTAAGTGTTAGTGGGTTTTGGGGCCCTTTAAAATTATCAATTATTTATTCTGGATCAAAGGGTCAAGGATGGGCGGGCAAAGTGTGGGAACCAAAATACCAAGTTCCCTTGTCATGGTCATATGTCGTGTTTGTCGTTTTATTTTTATTTGTTTTTTTTTTTGTGTTCATTTTCTATTTCCTTTATAATTGTTCGACACCTAGGGCTGATGGTGCAAGGGTTGGGAACCCCCTGATAAAAAAAATGTGCCCCGATTGAGCTTGTCGGAACTCCACCATGCACCGCGTCAAGCGGCCACAATATGTCGTCTAATTTAGGCGGTACATAATGACATAACGCCCAGCTCCATCTAGGCAGCTCGTAACAAGGCATATTCAATTTATCGGGTGATGAAACCTCATACGTAGTTGAACCAATTTTGCGGGTAATGACATAAGGACCATCATGTTTGGGTACAAACTTTGAAGTAAGATTCTTTGATGTGCTGCTCAAAACGTGAGTGTTCACTAAGGTTTCCATACCAACATCGAAATCTGGCTGAGGTCTTTCTTTCTGGTCGACATAGGCTTTGTTCTTGTCTTGAATATTCATATCTTTTTCTTTGGCATCTTTAAGTATGTTTTCGAGTATTTTTAAATACGAAGATATCTATGGGACAAGGTTTTTTGATTCGACGATAGATCTGACATCATGTTGTACATCATCTAGTTCGCATGTCTCTTCCAAAGATTAGAAATAATGGTGTGTAACAAGTGCTTTGGCATTTCGATGAATTCATTGCAAAAAAAATGGCTGGTTCTTTTAACTTGAACCGTTCTATACATCTACTAGTAACATCTTCAACTATTAGGATCCACTTATATCCATCTTCGGTTTGAGGCATCGGACGAAGTAAATCTACAGTTACCACTTCAAATCGCTGCTTGCTACTGGTTATTTTCAAAAGTCCAAGTGGTTTTAAGTTCGTTGCTTTCAAACTTTGGCAATAAATACAGTTTTTGACATACTTAGCTATCTTGCCTCTCATCCGAGGCCAAAAGTATCTACTGGCAATGCGAGAAATAGTTCTCTCTGTTCCATAATGACCTGCCGTACTATCATCTATCTATCATGATAACTTTTCAAAATTTCTGGGCGCTCATGTATCGGTATGACCAAGTGTGCATCATGGCACTCATCGTTTCCATAACAATATGGAATTCCATAATTTAGAATATAACTCTTATTGATCCATTTTAGAGAATTTTCATCATGTTTTTCAAAGGGACATTATTATATATTATGGCACCCTACATCTTTCATTTTATTTTTTCTCATCAGTGTGACGCTTTATTTGGAATGTCAACAATCAAGGCACAAATACAATTTTGTCATACAATTTTTGACAGTATTATGTTCATCTTCAGTGCATGGTGGTCTGGATAACATATCCGCAATGGCATTTCTTTTCGCAGGGAGGTATTAACTGGAAAGATTATACTGTTGAAACTGTAGTCCCCATCTGGCAAAACCTCCCGTTTGCGATTTAATGCTTAAAATCCACTTCAATGGTTGATGATCCGTTAGGTGTCTTACTTCCCCACATTCAATGTAGCCTCGGAATTTATGACAAGCCCACAAAATGGCTAAGGCTTCTCTTTCGGTGGTGGAGTAATTCCGCTCAGCACTATTCAATAGTCGACTACCATATGTAATGTATGGTTTTAGACTCTATTTCTAATAATTAATTCACAATAATTATTTTGATTACTCGTGGGCAACCCTAAAATCGCAAAAACTAATTTGTGTTTCTTTCACAGAAATACTTATTAAACACAGACCCAGTTATCGATCGTCACTCTCTCAATTCCTCATTATCACCAAAAGCAACTGAAAAGAGGCATAGAAAGAACTATTGAACCATTGAGGCTTCCTTTTCTTACAATACTTCGAACAGTACAGAACACTTAAGAAAACCAATAAAAGTTAAGTAATAAATCCAAATTTTCCAATTTAATCAAGTAGTGGAATTCTTTAAAAGCTACTCAAACTTCTGTGGTGAAAACATTTAGAGGTAAAGATTCAATTATTTCGTGCTTTCTCAAGTGGAAAATGTGAAAAAGTTTAAATCCAAAAATAATTTTCAAATTATAGTGAATACCAATCCATATTCGGAATATCTTGCAAACTCATGGTGTCCAAGTTCTCCAAAACCATGTGGAGATGGATCTTCATTTTTGGAAAACAAAAGTTAAATACTGAATTCAAGCTGTAAACGACACCACAGAATTTATTTCATCCAACAAAGTTTTCCCGCTTCAAAAACTCTGCATAATAAGATTCTCAAGAACCAAGGCTTTTGGTCTGGCCATAAATCCGGCGCTAAATGCCTGGACTAAGAAGTCGGTCATTAAACAGAAATTTAAGTCTGTAATTTTAAACAGGTATTTGGAGAACACTGCCGTTCTCGGATAAAGAAAAAAAACACAACCTAAAATCCGAGTCATCAGCTTCACATACTATTCAGAACCTTACAACACAAATTTTAAGTACAGTAGGCAACTTAAGCCATAAGAAACTTAAACCTTAATTTTCAAAAAAAAAAAAAAAAAAAAAAAAAAAATCTAAAATTAATTACAATCTAAAATATACTAGCTTATGATTATTACTATCTTCCTTTCTCAAAAGTCTATATGAACTCTTAACTTCATAATTACATATTAAAAATTAATCCTATAAGAAAAATAATATTACCTAAAAAAATCAAACTTTAAAATTTTCAAACTTAAACTAATTAATTAAAATAGGAAAAGTCCCTAGATCATATTCCAGTATTGAATAAATTATCACGCAACATAATTATAACCTTTTTGTGCACTTTAACAAACGAACATCATCATCAATCGTCAACTTCATGAAGGCCTTCGAGAACGTCAGACGCTCTGGTGAGTAAATGTAATGATCATTAATGTAATTACCATTGGTTATTTTTATTTAAAACATAAATGAAAGAAGAAGCAATAAAATAGTTCCTACCTTTTTGTTGCTTCTATCAATCGATCGATTTGTTGTTTGTGCACAAAGTACAAAAGAAGAACGAAACAAAAACAAAATTGTTCTTACTTCTGATCAACCATCGACTGGTATTTATTTTGTTGCTTTTTGTGATCAATTTGTTCTTGTTTCTGTTTGCGCAAGGTATGAATGAAAGAAATATGTAAAATACGCACAATCCATTTGTTGTTATTTTTGTTGATGTAATTGAAATTGAATGTAATTGCATTCTTCATTCATAACTAGTCATGCATACATATTTAGGGTTACCATGTCAGAAAATATTGGTGCCTAAAATATCGTAAGTTAAAAAAAAAATCTTAAAATAGAACTTTTAAAATAACATTTTTGTAAACATCTATAACTCATTGAAAAAAAAAATGTAATTAAATTGTTTAATATATCAGGCCTTAGGGCATACAAATATTAAAAAAAAAAATAAGAAGAGCGTAATTACAAGTATTCTATTCTATCATTAATCCGCTACTTATCTTCTATATATGTATATATACATTTATTTTAAATTATGTCTTGAATAAATTATATGGTAATATGAATTGCTAAGGAAATAACCCATTGTTTTCGTAAGATGTGGTAGTGTGTGACCAAATATTATATTGGGGACCCTTTAAAGTAGCGCAAAAGGGACATAGGTAAGGGAGGGCAAGGATGCGCTGATCTCAAGACATCTGAGATCCAGGTAATTGAATGTATCCGCCACAAAATTATTAATTATTCACAAAAAAAATAGGGAGTCTATAAAATATTCTGTAAACTAAATCCATTTCGTTGGACTCAGGACATAACCCCCCCAAGACCGACTGCAGCTAGAACACAATGGCTCCCGTAGTCCTAAATCCACGGAATTAATTGGTGAACTATCTTCCACTGGCGATACCTTACAAAAGTTTAAAATTTCCATCTTTCATCGGTCTCATCTAGGTTCCTCGCAAACAAGAAAAGGTTTTATTACAGTAATGGCGCCCAACGTTGGGCCGAAATGCATTTTGTATTTTCTTCCCAAACAAATACCAGTCCATCCTACATAGAGTACATTTGAATGCAATAGTCACAATCTTATGTATCAGTTAAGAGTAGATTTGGGAATACATCGATTGAACTTTTTAGGAACCTCGTCTGCTTGAGTTTTACTCGATTAGATTGACCATTTAGTGTCATCGTTGAATTTTCTGGGTCTATAATTCGCTAATATATCAAGACTCCAAAATTTATATACCAATGTTAGAGAGTGGTTTAGTTTAACTGAACTTAGTTACCGAGTACGGCATTTATATGGAATACATTCTTTTAGCTGAATGCAATGCAATGTCCACTAATGTCAGTATATAGGAAAAGAAGAAAACTTCAGTTTGTTCTTAAGCTAGAAAACTTTTCTTACATTTTTCAAACATAGCCCAATAAATTTATCAACACATTCAATTACCTTAATTTTCAGGTCCACACCCACTGATACGAAAACTGAAACTTTGATACTATTTTGTCATTATAAAACTTGTCTTTATTTTAACTTTCCAAATTGAATTTTACGAAAACTCAAAAATATGGCTTTATCAAGAACTCCTCCTCTACCCATTTCTGTGTCAAATGAACCAAATTTTACGTGCTCCATTTGCAATGAAAATTTACTGGAAAATCAAGAGTGTATGTACATTGCTCAATGTCATCACTCATTTCACCGAAATTGTATTGAAAATTTCCTCTCAAATGCAACGGAATGTCCCACCTGCACTCGTCCTTGTGAATTATCAGAATTACGTTCTATGAACCCTCAAAATGAGCCATTGCACCTAATCCAAAATGAATACCATGATACACATAATATTTCTCAAGAATCGCAGAGGCTGAAATCAAACCCTAATAGAGTGAAAAGACGTGGCGCTTTGGCTAAGCAGTACAACACCAGAAGCTCAGCTCGAAACACATCATGTGATTCAAATCAGTTATTACTCCCTGATGTATTCGATAGCTTTCCAAATTCTGCAGAAGAGAATGCTACAACAGCCAATACAAATAGGGTACAGGTTCCAAGTTCAAATCCAAGAACTCCACATCGACCCAATATACCTAAGGTTAACAATAATATAGATTATGGACTTATAAACCGAATGATAGAAACAAGTATGAGCAAACTTTTGCAAAGTCTAGATATCGGTCGAAATACGACTAACCCAAACAATGATTTATCTTCAACGCAACAACCTCTCAGTAGTCAGCCAACCGGCAACGATCTTCCACAAACTTCCAGGACTTACACTCCAAGCTACAATTCTTCATTAACATCTGATAAAATTACATCCATTATTAGAAACTGGAATCTGCAGTTTGATGGCTCAGCACAAGGTCTGGATGTCGATGAATTCCTTTATCGGGCTAAATCATTAACAGCCGACAATTTTGAGGAAGACTATACGGTAATCTGTAAGAATTTAAACATTCTTTTAAGTGGCAAAGCAAGGGAATGGTTTTGGCGCTATCGTAAACAAGTCCACTCCGTTGTTTGGGGTGATTTTTGTATTGCCATCCGGTATCAATACAAGGACTTCCGCTCAGATGCTGATATTCGCGAAGAGCTTCGCAATAGAAAGCAGAAGCCCGGAGAAAATTTTGAAACATTTTATGATTCGATATCCACTATTCTAGACAGGCTTAATTCTCAGATTCCTGAGAATGAATTAATCGAAATTATTAAAAGAAATTTACGACCAGATATAAGACATGCACTTTTATATGTTCCTATATTATCTATAGCTCATCTAAGAAAATTAATACAGATGAGAGAAAATTTTCTCAATGATGAAACTTATCGACGTCATTTGGTAAATAAACCCCCTAGCAATGCATATCCCAAAAGATATGTAGCTGAATTAGATCATCCTGAGAAGTCCACAGATAAATTGGAACTAGAAAATGAAAGTGTTTTTGTAAATGCAGTAATGCATGGTCCCACCAATGTTAAATGCTGGAACTGCCAGGAACCAGGTCACTACTGGGAGGACTGCCTAAAAGAAAGATCTGTGTTCTGCTACGGTTGCGGTGCCAGAAACATTTACAAACCTAACTGTTTAAAATGCAGTACTAGAAAGCTCCAGGGATCTTATAATCAAAACCCCAACAATGTCTCAAAAAACCCATAATAGCAGTCAGTAGTGGTACTACTGACTCCGTTAGTAATGCGAATAAATTATCTTTTTCAATCTTGAAAAGACCTACCATAGTCCAAGATTCACCCAATCATGTCAACTTACTTCCACTAAGACCTTACCACCGTAGGCTTTCGGAATACTTACAAAAACGGAAACACATTTTTGAAGTTTCTTCCTTAACACATTTTAGATGTAAAACTAAAAGGTCTACGCTTAGACTTCGGTTATACTACAGGCGAAGGAAAGTTGCGTCAAAATACGTAATTTCCTCTATTTCTACCAATTCCACCGACAAGCGATTATATGCAAAGGTCACATTTTTGAATTTTAAAGAACATGGTCTTCTAGTTACTGGGGCTAATGTCACCTGCATAGGTTCAGATCCTGCCCAGCAAGATTTCTCACAATTTAGTCAATTCCAATATTTTAAATCCAGTGTGAAAACCGCCGATGGGAAACTCCAGAAAGTTTTAGGGTTTTTAGATGTCGAGGTTAAATTCAAAAATCAGGTCAAAAGGCTACGTATATTAATCGTCCCATCTTTGAATCAGAGATTGATATTAGGCTTGGATTTCTGGAAAGAATTTAATCTTGCCCCGAATGTTTTTGAGTCCGTTGTGATATCTAGTCCGTCTGAAAGAAACAATTTGTCCGATATCACTAGTCTGTCGTCTTTAAATTCCGAATTGTCGTCCGCTTTGAAATCTGCAGTGTCAGTTAATAATGAAAAAGCTAATGATTATTCATTGACTCCATCCGAAACTCTTCAGCTCGAAGCAGTTAAAGCGTTATTTCCTAATTTTGAAAAACAAGGCTTAGGGAGAACCAGCCTTATTAAACATGAAATTCATGTTGGCGATGCTAAACCGGTCACACAGAGATTTTACCCGGTTTCTCCAGCAGTAGAGGAACTAATGTATAAAGAGATAGACAGAATGCTATCTTTGGGTGTCATTGAACCGTCAACGTCGCCATGGAGTTCTCACATGAGATTAGTTTTAAAGCCTAATAAAGTCCGTCTGTGTTTGGATGCTAGAAAGTTGAATGCGGTCACTAAAAAAGACGCATATCCGATCCCCAATATTGAGGGAATTTTTGCCCGACTACCTAAAGCCAACTTAATATCAAAGCTCGATTTGAAGGACGCATTTTGGCAGATCGGCCTAGCCGATCAATCCAAATCTCTGACAGCATTCACAGTCCCTGGTAGACCTCTTTACCAGTTTGTGGTTATGCCATTTGGCCTGTGTAATGCTCCTCAGACAATGTGTCGCCTTTTGGACGAATTGATTCCTCCTGACCTGAGACATTGTGTGTTTGGATATCTAGACGATCTCATCGTGGTATCGGAAGATTTTTCAACACATCTGTCTGTTCTTGTTAGAATTGCAAGCCAGTTTAGAAAAGCCAACCTTACTATAAACGTAAC